TCTTGACCCTAAAGAGCATCAAAAATAAGAAACAAGAAAGGGCTACGCACAGCTGAATTAGAAATGATTGTCTGTTTATCGCACATTCAACCAATCATTAGAAAAACAGCAGGCACAGGTTTCACTCTAAATCAACTGCACAAATAAATCGCGTTCCAATAACTCGGACCGATTTTAAATGTGAATTAAATTTAAGTGTCTAATGATTTTTTTCTTTCTCTTTCAGATTTGGCGGACATTTGAACGATATTATTTTTCACACATAATTGGCATGACTTACATAACTTGATCCAATAGAGAAACAAATAAATAGATGAGGACAATAGTCCGAATAATGTAAATAGTATTAAATAACGTGTTGTTAATTTATCGAAGCTTTATTTGACACTATTTACATTACGAAAATGAACGTTCAGACAGAAATGCAATGAGAAGTTCCCAGGTCGCATCATCTCTCGAAACAGCGAAGTCAATTGGACAATCACGATCGTGCGACTTGACGCCTTTAGATTTCTTCCTTGGGGGGGGTCATCTAAAAAAAACTGAAAAGTAAGATCTATGCCAACAAGCCAACAATTCTACAGCTGCAACTATGCAGAGATGTCATCAAAAATTTTGACCATCGAGTGGAGGTGTACCTCCAAAGCCTTGGCGGACATTTGTGTGATATTATTTTTTACAAATAATTGCCATGAATTAAATAACATGATCCAAATTGAGAAATAAATAAATTTTCACCAATAACACTGATGTAATTACTACTGACTTTGATCCGTCTTAAGAAACAGTCTGATATATAATCCGTTTTAATGAAACACTCTTTAGATGAATAGAAACATTGAAATAAAGTAAGTTCATATTTGTGTTCGTATTTTTTTTAATTCTATGGTTTTATTTCATAACATTTGAATATATACCCTTTAAAAATTTAGCTAAGGGGGCTGTGGTATTTTCATTTTGTTCTAGGTATGTCGTTGCTTAAAATGTTTGAGAAACAGTGAGGTCAATAATAATAGACCGCTATTTGTTTTTCTAGCACACTCGTCTGCAATGGCAGCTAGCTAATTCCTGTTGCAGATGCCTGCTCTGGAACATTTTCTGTTTGTTCAAAACTCGCAGAGTCCATTAGTGGTTTATACTGCGGTTATGGTGAGCGGATCTTAGTTATAGTGGAGAGCGCGACATCTGGTGTAATTAAGTTTGAAAAAGGCCAGTGCGCTCACATCCTCGGTCACGATGTCTGGAGAATTCATGCAAGCATAAACGTCGATAGATTTCCAACAGTTTTGTCGACCAAATTTGAATTAGAAGCCCTGGGTCGTGATATGAATTACATGAAATTTCTAGAGAAAATTGATGAGGTTGAGATTCGAATCTGACTATTATGTTCATAAAGCGAACATTCTAAATACCCAGCCACATATAGGTATATATTAAGAATCTTCGAAGGGTGTTATATAGTATTTAGTTTTTATGAACTGATATTTGTCTTATTTTAATAAAACAACTCGTGGTGTGGTAACAGAAACGTGCACTGATTGCACTAATCTTTGATAAGTGACAGGTTAACCCACGTGAGAGTGTGATGTTTGAGTGACCAATCTTACTATTTTCAACCATGAAGTCATATGTATTGATTATTAAATTTGTAATGCTCTCTCACCTTTTTTTTCTAACTTGGGTGCATCAGGTTGTTGCAGAATAAGTTAATGATGAGTGTTTTCGAAGTTATTTTTGGGAATAGTTCCCTATTATATATATATATATATATATATATATATATATATATATATATATATAATCGACTCGACGCTCCCGTCGATTCGACGTATGAGGTTTAAAGCAGATCCTAGGAACTGACACCAAACACATGAGATTTGATTATAGTGGTGAAGGTTCTTGGTTTGTGAAACATCGACACTTTTTAAAGGGCCGAATAGAGATACCTGGTGCACTACGTGGCACAAGGTCCCCAAACGACCCACCGCAGGATTTGAATTCAGAGCTGTCCTTCTCCTAGATCAGTTGCCATCCAAGTGTATAGAACCCATTCCTGCTATTTACCCATAGCTGGTGGGAGATTCATAACTTTCCCAAGGATAGAAGCACGAAGATAAATGTAATGGATTCGACTGGAAGTCGAACGCGTCTCTCCGATTCCACAATCCAAGCTGCTATTCATTACTCCACAGTGCTTCCTATCTCTCTATATGTATGTTATTTTTGTGATGTCAGCGAACATTCATCGCCAACTTTTGTAATGCCAAGGAATACTCGTTGTCACTTTCGTCATGCTTGTTGTAGTAGAGACTTTGTAATCGCAGATACAACTATAGTAACGCCGTTAAACAATACTGATGTCAGACGCCTTCGAATGACATTCGCACTAATAGTACTTGCTCGATAATACTCGCTCAGAAAGTAATCAGTGTAGTGATCCCGAATACTGATCAGTATAGAGAATATTATAGTAATAAAGGTTAGACTAGAAATGGCAACG